ATGGGGACTTGTCTGTCGGCTTAGTTTTGTAGTTATCTTGATCACAGCTAAACAATCGATTCAATTTAAACTTAATGAAGTTCTGGACAAAGCCAAGGGAGTGATTGAACCAACAGCCAAGCCACTTCAGTCTTGACCAGGAATATATAGAGATATTAGCACAGTTCTACTTGAATCTTATGAATGAAATAGAGATTTTATTTAAAAAATAGGTAAAAATATATATTTAATTGAGTAAAATATAGTTTATGAAGTTAATCTTGGTTTTTTAATTAAGTATATTAGATTTTTTATGCTTTTAAAGCTTTATAAAAGGGTTGTGTTTTATTTTTAGTGTGTTATTTAAGAAAGTTCCTAAAGTGTTTATGGTAGTCTGGCTGAGTAAGTTATTGTTTTTGCTAAGAAACAATTTATTTTGTCCATTTATATAGCTTAGAAATAAAAGTTTAATACTTAAATAGCTGAAAAATGTGTAAAAATTTTAAGAGATAAAATATTTTAAGCTATAGTTAACTAATTAAATTATACTTCGTCATAACGAACCTTAAAAGGTATTATAATTTATTTAGAAGCCTGAAACCCAGTGAAGAAATCATTTCCGACCCCATAAATTATATATATTCTTGATCAGCATTAACAGCCGAATCGATTTAGACATCTCCGGGAGAAAAAAAATGTACAAAATTTTTTTCAATTTTTTTGTTCAAAATTTTAAAAGAAGTTAATGGTAAAAAAATTACAAAATTTAAATTCTTTTAAAAATTCAAACAAAGTATGCAGATTTATTAACCTTAGAAAAACTAAGACAAAACAGTTTTCCGAATTAAAATTAATGCATTTTTGGCTTAGTTATGATATTTAAAAAACTATGATTTTTACCAAAAAAATTATATATATATGGCATTTATTTTAGGTAGTATTGGTGGTAATGATGGCCTAAATTTTTATATAGTGCATTAAGCCCTTTAAAATCTATTTTGAAATTAACAATAAGTATAGAAAAAGTTAAATCCACACTTAAAATTTAACCAAAACATGCTTAAAATTGAGCAAAAACAAGTACACCTATCTTAGGCTTCAATTGCAGTTTTGATTTCATCATTATAAAGCCTATAGCTTTTCCCGATTCCAAAATTTCATATTTTTTGAAGATAGGCTTTAGATACATAAGCCAGAAATGTACATTTTCTGATGCAAATTACATAGCTGGAACATTTTTGTGACATAAAATGACATTTGTTTGGCTTTCAGTTGGTGAAGATTTCTGTGTGTGGCAAACACACTAATGATGTGCCTTGGAACATAATCCAATATGCACTCTCTCTCTCTGTGTGTGTTGGTGTATTCTCTCTGTATCATTTGAATATCCAATGGCACCCGTGTGCCTCATATGCCTGCCCCTGGATCCCTGGATCCGCATTTAATTAATGCAGCTACGAATTTGTTGCAACAATTTGGCAACTGGCAAACACACCTCCAGGCAGAGGCTCTACCTCCCCTCTCAGATTGACATATCGTGCTGGCCAGTGGCCATTGAACCCATCCAATCGGATAGCCCAGACCGACCAAAGGTAATCACACCGACGACATGACTTATTCAGGACCCAAGCCAGTCCTCTCTCACTCTCTCTTTCTCTGTGTGTGTTCCGGACTCGGGCATTAGCCATAGCCGTAGTCGTAGCCATATAATTAGCCCCAATTCGGGGCAGGAGTTTGGGTATTTCCCTTACTCCCCTCCTGGACATGGCACTCGCCTCTGTTTCGTATCCGGAACATAGTCGTCCTGTGTCCCATGTCCCATGTCCCATGTCCTGCCTTGTCCTAACGTCAATTGACAGCTGCTGGCCAAAAGGGGAGAAAAAGGCCAAAGCCATAGGTTGGGCCCCATGTCTTTTATAGTTTATGGATTATGGATGGTATATATAGAGGCAACGCAAGGTTTTGACATCTTTTTAAGTCGGGATATTTATGCAGGAGCAATTACGGGGAAAAATGGTAAGCTAATATCGATTTAGTTGTTTAGCTTTTGAACTATGAGGTTAAGTAACTTGGTAGCTTAATTGAGCTCGAAAATATGGGTTAAATAAGCTACTAAATATTATACATCTTTTGTAGTTTTTTATCAGATTTTATTCTTCTTTAAAGTTCCTGAAAGTATCCAGTAAGTTGAAGTCTGCTCCTATCACATCCCTTTTGTATCTTTTTGGTTTTCTGTGGATTCCTTGGGCTTACTTGTGCTTCAACCAAAGTCAAGCCGCAGAAGCAGACTATTTTGCATACGCAAATAAAAGTAAATAAATTGAAATTCGTCAGCTCCTGGGTGTAAAGCCAGTATCCCTGTGCATACAACACGCATGTAAATCGACGCTTTACAACACAAATGCCACCTGTGGGGCGCCCTCCCAAAAAAAAGAAGGAAAATCCTCCCCCTTTTCGAATCAGCATTTGGGCTGATTTTCCCCCCCGCTTCCCTGTCTGGTGGTGTGGCAGCTTAAAGGAAAATTTGCTTTTTCTATCTTCTTTTTTTTTTGAAAGTGGAGAATGAAAAAAGTAAGAAAGGTAAGTTCAAGAAGTCGAAGTATATATGCCCTAGGATAATAGGGTTTGAATGCTAACTTAAACATAATTAAGACAAAAATGTATTAGTTAATTAATATCAATTAGGAATGAGATAACCTAGGCCTGATCCCTCTTATAGAATCTATATATAATTGCAGATATAATTGTCATGATTAAGACTTACCGCAGTAGGGGACTTCACGGTTATCCTAAATTCCTTCCAGTGTAGAGTTAGATTCATCTAAATGGGAAGGATATATAAACTCCTGATTAGCCATATATATTTTTAGAGTCGAAGAGTAATCACTATCACTATCACTATCACTGGAGATGTAAACACTTCGAAAGCCGCGAACAGAATGAGGCCAAGGCGGCAGCAGTGCCTCTATTTATACTCCTCGAGGCAAGAGTACAGAGAAAGTGAGAGCGAGAGAGCAAGGGCAAGCAGAGAAGAATAGAGAGAAAGGGATTTCTCCAGAGCTACATAGAGAGAGATGGAAATACCGAAAACGGTAGAGGTAAAGAGAGAGAGCAAGAGCGAGAGCAAGAGAGAGAGAGAGAGAAAGCTAGAGCTATCGATATAAAGAGGGACAGCAAATCAGAGAGAAAGAGAAGGCTTTTCACTAGCATAACAATATTATATTATTACTTTTGTATTATTATATTTGTGTACCATGCAAGATTGCAATTCCATTATTAATTTAATAAATATTCAGGCAATTCACTGTCATTGCAATATTAATTATTACTTTTGTATTATTATATTTACATAAGCTTGCTGATTGAAATTCAATAATTAATTTAATTTAATTTAATTAATATTCAGGCTATTCACTGCAACTATAATATTATATTATTTCCTTTGTATTATTTTGTATTATTTTTATGAGCTTGCTGATTGCAATTTAATTTTTAATTTAATTTAACTAATATTTATAATTTATAACTATAACTAATTACAAGTAACTATAATTTATTTATTACAAATATTTAGAATTAATAATAATATAATAATAATATAATATTCAATTAATATTTATAATATAAATAATAATATTTATGTCAAAATTAATGGCTTTTGGTAAATACTTCAAAGAAAGGCCTCAGAAATTGCAATAAAAATAAATCAACTACTTAAATGAAGCCCAAAAGTAGGCTTTTTAACTTTTAAGTTTCATTTAAATAGTTTATCTTTTTCTTCTGTAATTCCTGAGTTCTTCCCTATGGATAAGGATAACACAAAGTCGACTTATTCAGTGTATTTTTCTTTCATTATTTTTTTATTTATACAACTTGGCTGCCGTTTGGGGAGTAGTCTTTTTATATATTTTTTTGGCAATTGTTATACGTGAAATGTGAAATGTTTTCTTCTTCCCACCGCCCACCATTTTCACTCTGCATATTTACAGATTTTTTTTATTTTTTTTGCGTTTCGTTTTATTGGCAATTCCATTGTTAAACATCGAGCTCATCCACACAAAGCTCTCTCCACCTGTACACCTATGTATACCTACCTGTGTCCCATATTTCTCTCCATCTAATGAGTCCGCAGCACAACTAGTGTTGGCCATAAAAATGGTTAAAGTGTTTAATCAATGGTCTTTTCTTCCCTGTCCTTACCCTTAAATTGCCTGAAATTGAGTGCCATAAATCAGTGACGAAAGCTGGAACCAAAAGCATCTCAAAGCCTTGACCTTATGGCGAAGGGTCAAAGGAGAAATTATGTTACAGAAATAGGTAAGTTACCCACAGGGGTAGCCAGCAGCTGGTTGACTTTTGGACACACACACATTAAGCACATAAAAACCAATCGAATGGAAGTAAGGTTTTGGGGGGGAACAGCTTCAGTCAACTCCCACCAAAAATAGTCACAATAAAATGCCAACTGCCAATAAACGTCAATAAATCAAACAATTGAACGCGGCCAAGTTTCTTGCGCCAAATAAGTCCGGGGTACAACGTTAAATGTTCAATGTTCAATGTCCCCAAGTCCGATGTCCTTGTACTCTGTCCAGAGAGGCAGCCTTTTAAGTCACAAAAAAAAAAACTGACAAAAACTGCTACTGGAGGCATCAAGAACCCACAAAAAACGAATCCTAAAGGCATTGAGACCCACAAAAAGCTCCTGGTGAAGCATCAAGCTAGAGACAAGGTGAACAAGAAGCATTCAGGGGAATGACAGTCATTTAAAATAGGGAAAAGACACTTGAACTTTTAAACTAGATTTAGTTCTAAAAAATGCTACAGAAAAATCAAGGAAATATAAAAAAAAATGCCTTAAAATCCTGACAATTAATTAGCTTATTAAAAACCGCAACCAAAACTTTATAATGAATCCCCCTAAATTCCAATAAACCCAAAAAGAACTTCACTCAACTTCCCATTGAATTCGTTAGCAAACATTTGAATATATATATTATTTGGTTTTTTTTTTCCAATAACAACGTTAAAATTTATATGAAAGTAAGTCGGCTTGACTCGAGATTTTGATAATTGATATTCCATAGGCAATGGTATCGTGAATTCTTGATGATGTTTTTCTCATTTTCCTTTTTTTTTGGAGGCTCTTTGTTATATAGCTTCGTTTCATATATGCTCCATGCGGTGGCTCTATGGCTCGATCGACCGACTAACTTGTTGTGTGTATGTATATAGGGGGTGTGCTGCTTTTTTTGCCAGTGTGTGCTAGAACGGGTGTGTAAAAATACCGAAATTCTATATATATACAAGGATCTGGGGTTCTGGTATATGTAATCGAGTGCTACATATGGTATCGGGTATCGAATGTCATATGCCACATCTACAGCGTGTATATAGCCTTAACGGTGGCAGTTTGCTTGGCCATAGTGTCGTTATGAAGTAAATAGGATAGAGTATAGTCATTTGAGAGGCGCATACCATTGCGTAACATTTGTCCAATATCCCATGCGGCAGCTTCATTCTTTCCATTTGCCGTCCAAATTGATATCTTATTGGATTTGGCACGTATGTTGACAACAGCACCGCATATCTCATCGGCATATTCAGAGGTCTCACCGATCAGGCAGAGCATTGTGTCCAACCAAAAGTTATCCAGATCATGCTTATTATTCTTGCTAATGGAGATGACCCAACGTCCACCATTCTTATTGGCCTCATCCTCCCACATGGGACGAATGCCCTTCTTGAAGATACTATAATCGCTGCCAATCTTAAGCTCAGATGGCGGCTTAATGTGCGTCCAGAGGCTCCAGAAATTCTCAACAGTCTCGAAACTGGCAACCACATTCAGCATGTCCTCCCACGATTTGTTGCGATCATTTTGCAAATACCAAAGGGTCCACAGGCTATTCAATGGATGATGCGGTACTTTAACCTCATCGTTGATCTCAAGTGATTCATTCACACTCGGTTCGCTCTCGGATTCAGCTATATAGCCATACTTAGGTTCGAGTAGTTCGAGATCTTGATAATCGAGATCCACGGATTCATGGGGTGACTCGGGAGGTAAGATATCCGGCGATACAATTATATCGGTATTAGTCTTCAATTGATCCAAGTTCAAGTCCTCGGGTTGCTGCTGTGGTTCCTCCTCCACAATCTTTATACACTCGGGAACTTTGTTCTCCTCAATGATTGGAATCTCTGGAACCGGTTTCTTAAGATTTTCGGTTGATTTCTTCTCCTGGGTCTTCGTTGGGTTCGGTTTCGGGCTCTTTGGGACCACTTCGGTTTGATTCTTTATGATTTCAGGAACTTTCTTCTCCTGGTTCTTTATCATTTCAGGAACTTTCTTCTCCTGGGTCTTTATTATTTCAGATGGTTTCTTCTCCAGGTTCTTTAGGTTGACGGGAGCTTTCTCCTGGCTCTTGACGACTTCAGAAAATGTCTTCTCTTGATTCTTAACGACTTCAGAAAATGTTCTATCTAGATTTTTAACGACTTCGGAAAATGTTAGATCCTGGCTCTTAACGATTTCAGGAGCTTTCTTTAACTGCTGGTTATCATTGGCTTTCTTTAACTGCTGGTTGTCATTGGCTTTCTTTAACTGCTGGTTCTGCTGATTGTCATTGGCTTTCTTTAATTGCTGGTTATCGGTAGCTTTCTTTAACTGCTGATTGTCAGTAGCTTTCTTTTCATCATTCTTACGGCTTTCGGTTTGCGTCTTCACCTGATTCTTGGGACTTTCCGGTATAACCTTTGCCTGCTTATTGATTTCAGGTGCTCTTGGAAGCTCCTTACTCTTCAGGACATCGGAAAATTTAACATCAGGTATCCTTATGCTATCTGACATCTTAATGATCACCTCCGGCTTCTTTTGCTGCTGCTGTTGTTGCAGTTCTTGCTGCTGCTTCAGTTGCTGCTGCTGCTTCAGTTGCTGTTGCGGTTTCAGCTGCTGCTGCGGATACTGGTTCTGCTTTAGCTGCACTTGTCGCTGCTGCTGCTGCTGCTGCTTCATTTGCATCTGTTGCTGCAGCTTCTGCTGCTGCTGCTGCTGCTGCGGCTTTTGCTGCTGCTGCTGCTTCTGCTGCACCTGTTGCTGTTGCTTCTGCATGCGCTGCTGCTGCTGCTGCTGCGTCTTTTGTTGCTGCTGCGACTGCGGCTTTGATTGCTGCAGCTGCTGTTGCTGCTGCTGCTGTTGCTGCTTCTGCTGCAGCTGCTGTTGCTTCTGTTGCTGCTGCACTTGCAACTTCTGTTGCTGCTGCTGCTGTTGCGACTTCTGTTGCTGCTGTTGCTGCTGTTGCGGCTTCTGCTGCTGCTGCTGCATGTTCTTCGAAAGCTCCTGCGACTTCTCTAGCTTTCTCTGCTTCGCATTCAATGCATTGTTACTAGACAGGCTTGACTCTCTAGAGGAAGAATGGACCGGAACTTCCTTGGTATTATTGATGCTGTTGCTGTTGTTGTTGATATTGTTATTGTTCTTGCTCTTATTGCGGTTCCTACGCTTCCTTCCCTGGCTCTGAAATATCAGCACAGGCTCAGAATCAGCCGTGCCAGTAACTTGAATGCTATCCATATTCGACACTTTCTCCACTTGCTCAACTTTTTTGAATTTCTCCAGCTTCTCAACTTTCAAAATATTTGATGCTTTATCCGTGGCAACGACGATTGGCACTGCATTAATGGCGTTTATCGGTACCGTAGCTAATTTTAGAGTGCGAGTAAAAAATATATTTGAACTGGCGAAATTCGTCATATTGTAGAAATTCGTCGAAAACATTTTCGCACTCGTCTGCTGGCTGGCGTTAATCTATGGGTTATATTTTTCATTATTATAATAAACTTAATATACAAAAAGTATATATAATATATATATATATATATAATATATTAAGTAGGAAATGAGTGAGAGGAAAACTTACAACAAACGTATGGATTTGAAGTTATATACACGACCAGAACAATTCCACTAATGGTCTGTTTATTTCTTTTTTTGTCTTGTATTTGAATCGAAAGCGAAATTTAGACTAAATCTTTAAGCAAAATGCAAACTTACAATGACATATTTGGGTCAAGGCTATAGCGATGCAAAAAATTAATTAAGAAACTTTAAATACTCTATTATATATGGGAGATTTAAGGAGTATTTCAGAAGATCTAGTAGAGTTTGCTTTTTGTAGAAATCCAAGGTTATTAAAGTGTCTAACTTTGCTGCAACTATATAGTCATTATGTAAGGTATTAACTTCTCTTTTCCCCTATTTTTTTCCCTCTAAAGAGACAATCACGCGAATTTTCTCTGCTCTAGAGAGAGAGAGATGGACACCCAACACGTGAGCTCCTTGAAACGTGAGCGAAATTTTTGTGAAAATTTTCCACTTTAGAGGAGGGAAAATAGGGGGTGGGTGGGGGGTCGGTAAAAGCGTAGGGGCCACAAAACAAAGTTCCACTCGAACTGCAAACTGACCATACAAGGAGATGGAACGTGTGCACAAAAGTTGCCAGCTTGAGGAACAAATATTTACACATCCTCGACTTGGACTTGGGGACTCGAAACTCGATGATTCAAGTGGGTGTGACACCCAACACACTCAGGAAAATGTTTGAGTATTGTGAGTGTGAGTGTGAGTGTGAGGGGTAACACATTACGCATTTCTTATTAGCCTGGAAAAGCGGGAAAGCGCTTGAAACTTATTAGGATTTGTGTGAATCAACCGAAACGAAGTCAAAATAAAAAGTGTAAAAAAACGAACAGCTAAATACTCTTAAGCATAAAAATAGAATAAAGAAATAGTTGTAAATATAAAAATATAGGCCAAAATATTAATGAAAATAAAGAATTAAACGTAGGAACTCTTAAGCCCACAAATAGACTAAAAGAAAAGGTGGTAAATTTAAACAAATAATCAAAGATATTATTGAAAATCAAGAATTAAGCATAGGAAACTCTAAACTAAAGTCTTATTAATTTTAAATAATTAAAGAAAAATAAATAACAGCTTTTCAATAATGTTCCAAAGTTCATTTAATTTTCTATCCTTTAAAAAACTCTTCAAAGGATCTCCCCAACCCAACTAAACTTTAACTAATGGCTATAACTTCTCTATGATTTTTTGTTTATTTTGTTCGCTTGTGTCGCATTGATGTTATTGAGAGTTTTGTTGGAGAAAAGGCAAAGCAAAAGAGCAAACTTTCATTTGGCTTTGGCTGTCATAAGTTTAAATGGAGCGGCCTTCGAGTGCCGGCAAAATGAATGGAAAATATCGGGGAAAAATACTATATATACCAGGAATTGAAATCGAAATCGAAAAATCAAAAGCGTGAGGCAAATATTTGAGAATGGCCTCGGCCTTTGACAGGCTCTTTGGTTCTTTATGTGGAATGGAATCCTTTTGGACCAGGACTCCTCACACACCCCCTCTCCTAATGGTAAATCGGTGTCTTGGCAGATCCACATTGGATCCTTTTTGGACCGCCCACACACTTAACACTGTACACTTAATGGTAATGGTGGGTGTGAGTCACACAGAAATGCCAAGACATTGCAGTGCAAGATTTGCTTTTTTAAAAGGCGCTCAGGGATCTTGAAGGGATGCTGCTTTGGTCTTACATCTCCTCTATAACCCCTCCTTTTCCTCCTTATGCTATCCTTTAACTCAGCTTTTCCCCATTTTCCCTTTACAAATGCGCTTTTAACTTAAACGACAGCAAGGAGAATGGGGAAAGAAGTAGAGGGAAAGCCAAAACTGAAACAAAAACAGTACAAGGAAAGCCAAGGGGACAGAGAGGAAAATTATGAGTTGATTTCACATAATCCTAAATAATAATAAGGAAATATATCTTAAGGAATACCCTTTAGAATAAACCATTATAGGTCAATATTCTCTAAAATATATAACATATTTTGGTAAGAAATATATTAAATATAATTCAAATATAACTTGACTAATAAAACCTTAAGCTATTTAGCTAAGTAATTTATAAGAGAGAAAATAATTAGTTCCTGATAATATTCAAGGAAATAAATAAAGAAAATATAGTTTTAAGAACAAGTTTAAAATATTTTTAATTAAGAAAAGATTAAATTTAACTCTTGTATATATAAATAAGATATTGAATCAAATAAAAACTTCTTGATTAAAAAGAGTAATAACCAAAGTCATATCAAATACAATTTAAAGAACGAATTCTTAAGATATTAAACTAATAATCAAGAAAGTTATAAAATTAAATGTATTATGCAAATAATTAAAAGATAAACTTGAAAATAATCTAAAATATAAACTATATATCCATAAGACATTCATTTAATTTTCAAAATCCTAAGCTATTTTCAAATGTTTAAATGAATTCTCAAGATAATAAACTAATAATCAAGAAAATTATAAAATTAAATGTATTATGCCAATATTTTAAAGGTAAACTTGTAAATAATCTAACATATTAACTAAAAATCCATAAGACATTCATTTAATTTAAAAAATCCTACAATATTTTCAACTCAGAAATGTTTAAATTAATCTGTGGTATAATTTAGATACAAATGTGCTTAAAAATGAAGCAAATAAATAGAAATATAATTTAGATAGAATTGTGCTTAAAAATGAAGCAAATAAATTAGATAGATATCAGAAATAATTAAAAAAAAAACAAACTTCTAAGATATTTCCAAGCAAAAATCAGACTAAAATAAGTCTTAAATGGGTGTTAAAACAATTTTCTTCAAGTGCTGGCAATCCGTTTTCCCTACTCTCTCTCTTTCTCTCTCTGTCTCTTTGCTCTGCCTCTGTTCTTGGCTAAGAAAAACGCATTGCAATTTTTTATTTTCGCCCAGTTACCCCAACCTCCTCCCTTCCCCCCTCACCCACAGCTAGCCCAATTTGATGTAAATATTGTATTAGTCGAAGGGCCAAAAGTGTTGAGTAAATTTATTGGCGGCACATAAATCGACAAGAGGGGGGAGTGCTTCTCTCTCTCAATGGGTTGTCATCCATTTGAAAAATGAAGCTAGCACTTTAAAGGTAAATATATATTATATTTAAACTTATATATAAAGAATGTATACATATACCCTATAAATCGTGAGACATTCATTCATTCATTCATTCATTTCCTTTTCTTTACTTCCTGTGACCCGTGTGACCTGTCGCTGGCTCAAATGTTTGTTGGCTTTGCCGCCCTGGAAAAACTGATGAAAATGCAAAAATGTTGTTGCTTTCCCTGGCACTTTTCCCGCCCGCCCCTCTGCTCCCCCACCCCACTCAGCTGCTATGCCAATTTTAATTAACAAAAAACATGGCCAGCTCCCTGTTGCATTGTGTGTGTGTTTTGTTTCGGCAATGTTTTGTTTTGTTTTGTTTCGCTTTTGTTTTGTTTTTAGTTTGAACTCGGTTCCTGTATCCTTGTAGTTTGGTTTGAACAAGATGCCCAGCAAATATGGCAAATGGGAAACTGGAGGGAAAACTAGGGGAAAAACACAGCGAAGCAGAGGCGGAGATCCGCTCAATTGCAATGGGCATACTTTCGGGGATTCCCCTGGCTTACTTACACTTGTAAAAATAACTTGACTTACCTCCATGTCTTGCAGCACTGTTTTTTTTCTTTCTTATGATCCCTAGATTGAAATTTTTGAAAACGGAAAATTTGTGTTTCTTGTTTTTAAATATAATAATTTGGTGAATTGTTTTCCACAATGATTTAATGATTTTTGGTAACAAATTAGAACTTGATATTGCAAATAAAACAACCCAAAACAAATATACCCTACTGGAATATATATAAAAAAAATATATATATATGTTGATGAGCGTGATTTCAGCGACAGACTTTCCCTTCTCTGTTGACGATAAATCGTTGTGCTTTTTTTTATTATTTTTAGCGGCCGGCAAAATCAGTATAAAAGTTTTGTAATTTTTAATTTAATTTTTTTTTTGGCGAAATTCTGAAGGGAGCACTATGTCGTCTGAAAAACGAAATCATTGACAGTCTGACGTTTAATTCAAGGATTACTTAGCTAACTAAGTTTTTTAGAAATTTTTTAACAAGGAATCCTTTAAAGAAATTCCTTAAAAAAAAACTAATGGTAATGTCTCAAGTCTAATCCTTGTCTAGGAACTCCTTTTGCGCTTAAAAGCTGACTGCATTTGGTGACATTTGTCGTCGCTGGCTGTCGTTTCCGTTTCCGCTTCCGGTGGCTAGCTGCTATGCGCCCTGTCTCATTCTTTTATCCTTTTGTGTTTGCCATTCAAATATTTTGCTTAATCCCAGTTGCCCCTCCTCCCCCCACTCCCTGACTGTATTAGCGTTAAAATATTTAATTAAAAAAAAAATAAAAAACGCATAATTTGCATTCCAAAAGCAACACTGTTTGGCCATGTTTGTTCATATCATTAATTCGCCATTTGGCCAAATAATAATGCATATTTTTTATATTGTGTCACAAAGAAAAAAATAACAAGCTATGTGCATGTTTTATATTATTTTATTATATTTTTTTTTGTATCATATTTGTATCGTGTTTGCATTCGTTTAGTTGTTGCTTTTCTTGTTCATATTTACCTACATTTTTTTGTTTTATTATTTCTTTTGTATTTATTGTAGTTGTTTTGAGTGTTTTTGTGCAATGCAATTAATTAGAAGTGGATAAATGGCCGAACACGCAAATTAAATTAAATTCTATGTGCCTTTTAAAAGGCAAACAAAGAGCAGAGTCACTCGAAGCTCAAGTGCAAACAAGGGAATTATGAAAATGCATAAAATCAAACCCTAAAGTGGAAATTTTAACAATAAAGCTATGGAAATAAAGAGCAGAATAAACACTTTAAAGTATTAATGCAAGGAAAATAAGTATAGAATTATTAAAATATGAGAAAACTAATAAGAAAACTGAAAGATATATAAATTAACATCAAATAAATTGCCTAAATATATATATAAATATATGTATAAAAAGCTGGCATGGGGCGTGGCATGTCACATCTAAGCCCAACAGCTGTTTATGGCCAACTGAAGCAACACTAAAAAAGCCAACAAACAGAAGCCAACATTTCCATTTACAACACGTTCGTTGCAACAACAGATTCTGTTGCCAACAAATAACAGAAACTGCTATGGCTTTCAGGCGTTTTTGGTCAAGAAAGCTAACAGAGATGGTTAATACAGATACAAAAGCAGCAAGTGGAAGTTCATTAAAGTTCAGTTTAAGAGGAAAAAATATGGCTTTTAATATTTAAAATAAATTCTGGCTCTTAAAAGTGGTTTAAAATAAAGTTAGACACATATTTATTAGACCTAAAGTTGTGCTATTATTTAAAATTTTCTATTATATATTATAAATTATAAAAGTATAAAATTTGTTTACTCCTTCCAGGTATTCTAATTTTAGTCAGAAGCTTCAAACACAGTGAAGGATTTCCGACCCTATAAATCATATATTCTTGATCAGCATCAACAGGGGAATCTTTCTAGATATCTTAGAAAGAAATTTTTTTTTTAATTTTTTCAACATTTTTTTAATGATAACCCCATCATTAAAATTGTAAAAAAATTGATAAATTTTAGAATTTTTTAAAATTTTAACCTTCAAAAAACCAACATAGGACAGCTTTCCGAATGAAAATTAGTGCTTTTTTGACTTAGTAATGAAAATTCTAAGCCAGAATTTGTGAAAGAAATTGTTATGTATATAAAAATATTGATAAATATTTAAACAATTTAGCAAAATAAATTTTTTTCGGTCAGACATAGCCAGATCGACTCGGCTGTTCAAGCTGATCAAGAATATATAAAATTTATAGGGTCGGAAACTACTCCTTTTTATCATTAGAAGCTTTTGACTGAAATTATAATACCATTTTTTAAACGGTGTTGTATATGAAAATTTTTTCGAATATTTAAAATTTAAAAATTTCATAACTAAGGCAAAAAAGCATCAATTTTAATTCGGAAAGCTTTCCTATGTTAGTTTTTATAAGATTAATATATCTGCATACTCAATTTAAAATTTAAAAAAATTCAAAATTTTGACATTTTTGTTTTTAGAATTTTAATGATATAACCCCTTAAAAATTTTTTAAAATTTGATTTCTGCCGGAGATGGCTAGATCGATTCTGTTTTTCATGCTGATCAAGAATATATATGATTTATAGGGTCGGAAATGACTCCTTCACTACTTTATAAGCTTCTGACTGAAATCAAAATATTCCTAGAAAGTTCTATAAAATATTCTTTAATTTATCCAAGTTGCATTTTCTAAATAACAAAAAATATATATAAACATATCTTAATGCGAAAAAATGTCTTTTCTTTGCTGAATTAATATTTCATTCTTATTTTAGTTCTATAAACCCTTTAAAAAGTGTTTTGTTTTAACCACATTTGGCTTGCATTGCCTCAGCTGGGGCTCAGAGTGACATTTGTGGTATTTGGCTTAAACCGCTTTTTGAGCCTTCTATTTGTTCACGTCGCAATAAAAGACCAATATATAAAATTCACATTTGTTATTGAGCATTTTTAATTTTCTTTTTTTTAGAGAATTGTTTTCTTATTCTGCTCCAAAAATGTTCCACTTTTGAGGCTTTGTTTGCTCAACTGTTTGCGATTCATTTTGGTCTTGCGTCACATGGTTAGTGCCAGCTTCTTCGTCTCTAAACACTTGACAGGCCTTTTATATTTGTGAACTTTATTCAGAAAGTGCCTAGTTAGCATATTAAAACAAATAATTTGTTTTTAAGCATTAAAAGAAACGTGTGATAAAGCAGTCGAGATGTTTATATTTTAATGAGTGAAAATATGTGGAAATGGATTTTGACTTGAATTAATACTTAAATCATACTTAAATGATATATTTTAGGGCTTAAAATATTATATTTTTTTAGTAAATTAAAAAAAAAAGATTAATAAAGAAGCTTTAAATTAAATGCATCGTTTGCTAGATAGTGAAAATTTTAAAAAGCCTAAATTATTTTACAGAAGAATTAATGAATTTGATGCGATAAAAGATTCTAGTATAGAAAATATCAATATTTCCTAATAGAACTTTACAATTGATCATATTTTCTATATTATTTGATAATTTTGTTCTATAAAAATATAAAATAAAACCTTCTTTACCAAATAAGTACCTACTCAAAAAAAAATATATTTATGTATATAAAAGGTATTCCCTGAAGATTTGAAATCACCTACTTTTTGAATGCAATATTCTAGAAAAATATCATAGCATACTTTTGGTCGAATTTTGAATCGATTTTAAGATCTTCTATGATTTTTTCTGCTACTCTTATTTAATACCAGCTAGAGATCCCTAACCATATCTTTTCTATATATGAAATCCACCTCTTTTCACCCCGCCTGACCCACTGCCTCCTTCAGCTGGAGTTCATCCTTGAGTCTTCGTCGCTCCATGGAATCCGCCAGCTGCTGTTCATTGGGCAGGAAACCCAATTTTCGATACTTCTCCTCGATCCTTGATTGCAACTGCGGCTGGAATCGCCAGATATTGGCATCTATAATCGGATCGATCAACATTGATTTGGTATCCGGTTCCCTATAATGCTGCATTTGGGCAAACTCAATGGGCACCGATTTCGCCCCACAGGCAGCATTTTCCGTATGGAAAAAGGTGAAATGATTATGCAAACCGACTGCAAAACGAGTGTCATGTAAACACTTGGTGGCCGCACCACGATTGCAATGCTCTCGCACTCGTTCCACATGTTGAAGCATATAGAAGGAACTGGATAGATTGCGATATACCTTGGGTCTTTCCGGATACCGAGGATAGTAGACATTGCGGAAACAGAAGCTCACCCATTCGGTGCAATCCTTGGAGGTGACACTTTCATAGTCGGGAACAACGCGGGCAAGCTTCACCAGCTGCTTCCAGTTGGTGGTGTTGCCCAAAGGCATGATCACTTCATCGGTATCAAAGACTCCAACATAATCATACTTATACATATTCCTATAAAAGCAATCATTGTAGGGTATCATCTCGTTCAAGATTCGATTGAAACCATCCGCTGCCATGGTGTAGTGATGGAAATGGGGACGAGCATGTGGTTCACCACGACCCAAGGACATGGCACGCACCTCCACAAAGCCGGGATAATCCTTCAGCACTCGTGTCATATTCGGATGCATTTGGGCATCGTAAAGCCAGACTTTGGAGGCACCCAGCAGACGCATTAGCTCTAGCCATTCAATCAGACGCCATGACTTATCCTCATAGGGGAAATCCATGGCTTTGACACAGACTATGAAACGGGGATCCTTGGCTGGCTCCATTGAGGAAGATTCCGTGGAAATGGATTCGGTACTGTTTCCTTTTATATCTTTAACCTGATCATCCGGCTCATAGATCACTCTTAGCAAATTCCTAGCTCTGTCACACTTGTTTCCAACTAAGGACACCATTTGTGGCACCTTCTCCTCATCTGGCAGGGGACAGCTCAATAAAGTGGGATAGATACGACGTGGAGCATGACCAAAGGGCCACATAACACGATGCTCGGTGACATTAACAATTAGGGGATCCGCTTTACCCTCAAACCAAAATTGACAATAAATTTGTGGATATTTAAACTTATTATCCAGATGTTGATTAACCATGGTCAGAAGGCGGACGAGAGGTGCCTCTGGCACTGTCTCCCTGTCATCATAATAAGCTCCAAAGAGATAGTAAGTAAGATTTCGATTCACTGCCTTTTGCCAGTAGGTATTATGGAAATCAATATTCATTAAATCCGGAGCAGGACCACATTTCACTGCCTGATAGTGCTTCTCTCGTTGTACGAGCTCTTCCAAGGGAAACGAAGGCATCTCCTCGCGTATCCATTTCATTTGCTGCTCCCAAGTGGGTTCTGGAAATCAAGACAAGACTTGCAATTTCTAGATTTTCAAATAATCCTGAAAAACTCCTTACGCTCCCTGCGATCCAATAGTATCTCATCGAATATATCCACCTGAGAGACCACAACTGGTCGTCTTCGCAACCTTGTGCTGGCATCATAACTTCGAAAATATAATCCCAGCAGGAAAAGCAACTTGAGGAAAATGATCACGAATAGGATTCGATAGAGGCGCGTGTAGCTCGTTGACATTTCGGCACTCGACTGATCGATCCGGAACCAGAGTAAACCCAATAAACCCCGGTAAACAGAGACCAGAGACAATACCTACAGTACCTACAATACCTATCTGTCTCTCAGTCCATTATGTCGCAATATTTGATAAAGCTGTTTTACTATGCCTCGACTTTAAACGGTGGGTGACCTGCCTCAGTCGTTTTTGAACTCAATTGTAAAAGATATCTGCGGCTATGAACAAAAATGATCGAAATAGGAATATTTCTGGTGGGGAAAATGTACAAAAAATTACTTTCCTTGATTTTATCTGCTAGGTATTGCCTTTTGACTTAGTCCCGGAAGTTGAAAAACCTTTATCTGCAACCTTAAATAGGTTTATCTACAAACTATGCACTTTACTCGAAAAAAGGACTCCCGGCCTATTAGTTTCCTCTTTAAGTGATAAGAATTTGAAAGTAAATTTAAAGAATTATGCAGAAATTTAAATGGATTTCATTTACAACTCCAATACAACTACAATTAAATAATGGTAAAACATTCGGAACCCCAAAATAAAGACTGAAACTCAAAACTCAAGCAGAAATACCCAAAAAAAAAAGGAGTCAACCAAGCGGAATCAGGAGGCGGCTATAGTCCTCTTAAGAATAACAAAACAAGTGCAGACTCCGCGGAAAAAGATGACGCTCCAAAAGGAGCTCCCCCGGTAGGTGCAACAGACACCGGCAAAAAAGGAAAACCAAGAAAACCAAGAAAACCGAAGGAAAACAAGGAAAACACCAAGGAGGAGCACCAAATACGAGCACAAGCTGAGTGCACATGAAAACGCACCTGGGCGCAAATGAATGATGATGATGTTGCCACAACAGCCGCAGGCCAAAAGCAGGCAACAAACTTATTTCCAAACCAAAGAAACAGTGTCACGAAATGGGAAATATTTCAATTAAATAATAATAATACTGAAATAATAAATAAATAATAATAAATAAGGAGTACATTACAAAAGTACTAGTAAATTCAAGCAAGAAGTTGCCTAGAAAGATGAGACAAGACTAGGAAAATCTTCTAGCTTAACTATGATCTTTAAGTATGAGTGATCAGTAAATAGCTATGATCAGTAATTAACTAAAATCAGTAAGTAACTCTGAACAGTAAGTATCTATGACCAGTTAGTAACTAAGATCAGTAATTAACTATGATCAGTAAATATTTATAACCATGATCACTAAGTAACTCTGAACAGTAAGTATCTATGACCAGTAAGTATCAATGAACTTTAATTAACTCTAAACATTTAGTAACTATGATCAGTAATTAACTATGATCAATAATTAGCTATGATCAGAAAGTATCTAATAACATTAAGGAACTCTGGACAGCAAGTATCTATGACCAGTAAGTAACTCTGATCAGCAAGTATCTATGATCAGTAAGTATGTATGTATGATCAATTACTAACTTTGAACACTAATAAACAATGACTTGCAACTTTTAAACCACAACACATTTCTAAGACTTGGCTGGCGGCAGTCACTTCGTTCCGGGGATGTTAGAACCAGTTGGGAATTATATGCACTGTGTGCGAGATTTGTTTTGAAACAAATTTAAGCTATTTGCATGAAACTATGGATTTATTCTTCTATATAATTTTACTAGTATATAAGTCGGAGCATGGCGAATCGGTGGACTAAATATATATTCATATATATATCTGCCATAGGAACGATCGGAAAATTTTAAGGAAAAAAAACTTGGGCGTGCTTCCTTTTTTATTCTAAATTAACTTTAGGTAGTTTATCTCTTTTACAATACTTTACTACGTTTAAAACTTCAAAATTTAATTATTTTCTTAGCCATTTTATTTTGCTTATAACCCACTGTCTCGAACTGGCAGAAGAAGTTCTGTTTGTTTCTTGCCTCATATGTGAGGCAACCTTTCGCTTAAGCAAATTGCCAGCCCAAGCCTGGCACGCCCTCCTGAACTCCAGCTCCTGCTCTTGTTCCTGCTCCTGCTAATGCTCCTCCTCCTGATCCTGCTCCTGCTGCTGCTCCTGTAGCTCCTTCTTTTGTCTCTGGTGCTTGCGGCCAGTGAAAGTCGAGAGTGCATCAGCTTCAGTGCTGGTAGCTAGTGCTGGGTGTCTCCGCCCTGTTGCATTTCACTTAGAATGCTTTTAACCAAAACATTAAGCAGCTGGTGTCACATTATATCAGCGAGGCGGAGGCAAGGCTTAGTTGTGCCCCCGAAGTGGAGGCAAGGCAGCAGCCACAGTAGCAACATGCAACTAGCTAAATTTATGGCCCGAATTAACCCCATAGCCAAAGTGGGAACTCCACCTTCTCCTGACTGACTGAGAAAACAAGCCACTCTGAGGCTGGGCGGATGACAAGAGAGAGAGTCTACTCTAATGAGCTGAATTATTTCACGTGGTGAAAGGACACAAAGACACCCCAAAGGCTTTGGAGTCACCCACCTGTTTATCTTGAGTCTTAAAGAGGAAGAGAAGTCTTAAAGAGAAATGTTTCTATGGTTATAAATATGGGTTGGTTGAGTCAAAATATGATTTAATTGAATTAATAACTAATATGCCATAACTTTATCTTGATATATATTAGTATAAATAAAGAATATATATCAGAGAATAAACAGAATAATTATAAGATCATATGTTTATCGAAATATATTTGTATTAATGATTAAAATATAAAATACCTAGTTCGAAGGATGAAAACATAGCTGACTGGTTTATTTTGTAAATGAACTCTTAAAGAGCCTTTCTCTGCGCTTCTCAAACTTCCTAAAATGAACTCCTACAACTCTTTTCTATAATCTTTTCAACATTATTACATTACATTAATTCTGCAATGAATTCTTGAACTTCTTAAATGAATTAAAACATTGTATAATCTATAAAATTTAAGTATTTAAAATTATTCCAGTTAATAAATTTACATAGAAGCACTCTATAATATATGAATAACTATTTCCAATACCATCAACCAATTAACCCAACAGATTAAGTAGTTAGAGCTACTTACTCCTCACTTATTACCAACTCAACAACAAGTTTATATGAAAGTAAATTCCAAAACATTGCAAACAAACAAGTTAGCCAATTTATTAGCCTTACAAATACCAAACATACATATATATCTGGACCAAGATAAGAACTCTCTTCTGTCTCTAGTGATTAGCGTCAGTTTAAAACACACGAAACTAAATTAGTTTGCATGACAACAAGCCTACACAGGAGTCACCAAAAACGAACTATTTTAATTGAAAACTCGTAAATGGAAATAATAAGGCAAGTTAACAGAAGGACCTCCGGAGGCAGAAATAGTCCTGCAGGCAAAGCACACACACACACACCAACCAATGTCATCCGGAGGCAAACAGTTCGACATTCCGTCAGGCATTCAGTCAATCAATCAATCAATCAATCAATCATTCGTACTGAAAATGGCACTGCCAAACAAATGCCACACCGATTGCAGTCCTGGACCTGCTGCTACTACTGCTTCTGCCCTCATTGGCCCTATTTGTTTATTAAAATTAAATTTTGCATAATAAACTAAACGGAAAAATTGCTACATCCTTTTGCTTTATATAGTATATATACTATATATAGTATGTGTATGGTGTTTGTGTGTGTGTGCAATAATTTACTTTTACTTAGAGGCAAACCGGCTTTGAATAATTGATGAAATCGTCCATGAAATGGCCATTCATGCACTTTAAGCTGATTTACCCGGGCATCGAATTAAAATGCCCGCACACAGTAAGAGAGAGAGACGACAGTCAGTGCACTGACTGGCAACCTGACTTGGCTCGCACTCCATAAATCACGGTGCTTCCAGACAGGATACAGAGCACCAGACACCGGGGGACACGCGCAGGACACACAGGGACACACGCAGGACACGAGAGTCAGTAAGGCCAAGGCCATTGGCATGCTGGTCTCTCTCTCTACTGGCTTTAATTCGCTGAATATTGGTGGAATAAAACCAGCATATAATTTAAATTTTCCCGACTTAAATATATATAATAATGAGCTTAGTCAGCTTATAAGTTTCTCTATATATTCAATTAGCTTCATCGCTCTCTCACTCTGATGGTTGCATTGGGTTAGAATTTTCCTGGACATCTTGTGATTCCTCAAATTTAATTTAGTCTTCGTGCTTTGTGTCACCTTTTGACCCTAGCCCACTTGCCCTGGCACTAATTTATCAGTTTTGTGGTCCATAACTCAGGCCTTGGGGGCATGGTCTTGGCTTTTCTTAGCCTTTTGTTCAATGAGGGTGGAGGAGGACTTGGGGCTTAAATTCTGTCTAAACGGACAAAGGACAATGGACAAGAGAGTAACGTTGCGTTAGTGTTATCTAGCTGCAGTAGCATCGCACGGCATGATTAATTGATGAAAATCCTTTTTGCCATGCAGGATAATAAATTACAATACAGGTAGAGAGAGGTAGACGTGCGGCATGTGTTGCAAATGGCTAACACACACACACACACACACACAGTATATGTGGGGCAACTTTGATTTGGCACGCAGAATGGGGCCTGCATATGCATGAGCTTCATACCCTGGCCTTCCTCCACATTGAATTAAACTCCACGGCGAGAATGAGTTCCGTTGCCAGTTGCCGGTTTTGCCGGTTGCCGTATCCATTCCCCCGGACCACGATGACGCGCTGCCTGTTTCCCAAATTAGCTTAATTTCATTTAAAAGGATACAGCGTTGCAGGCACGGCACACAGGATAGGGCATGGGCTCCAGGGTAGCGCAGGGCTGGAGCATGTTTGATTCCAAACTCACTCACTGACGGTGGATGGGCGAACTACCTAACGAAGAGGAAAGTTAACTGGTTCCGTGTGGAATCTGGAATATTTAAATAGTTGCCAACAAGCAGAGCTCTCTGCTAGGTGAGTGGATTTGTGTGCGGGGATAGTAGGTTTCGGTTTCAGGTTCTAGGATTTTCCACCCACGCGAAAGGAGTATACTTGGTTTAGCGTTAAAT